CTCAAATCATTCCTGTGTCTATTTTCTGAACCCTATCTAATTATTCAACATCCTTTTTAAAGTACAGACACCAGAACTGGACATAGCATTCCACTAGTGGTCACAGCAATGCCATATACAGAGGTAATATCACCTCCCTGCTCCTTCTCAACATTTCCCTAGACCACATAACTCCCCTCCCCCTTAGACACCTCATCACTTTGGGATCTCATGTTATACTGGCTATCTCCATTTTCCAGATGAGGCACCAGGAGATGAAGTGACTTACCCAAGATTACACAGGAAGTCTGTGGCAGAGGTGGAAAGAGAACCTACCTCTCCAGATTCCCAGGGCTTATGCTTTATCCCCACAACCATTCTCCTATGTTAGTCTTTCCTGCCTAAAAGCCACCTGTTACATAAAGTTCCTGTTGCAATTAAATTAATTTACTAACACAGCCAGGCAGTTTAACAGCTTATTAGTGCAGATCAATATTGTTAAGCCATATAAGTGAAGCCTTGTTCAATGCCCTTTAACTCTTTAGATATCTTTTTCCCCCCAAAACACACTCCACCACACAAGTCCCTCCACATGGTCCAGCAGCTACGACCAGAGGCAGGCTTGCTGCAGGATAAAAGGAGAGCTACCATCAAAGCTACTTTTGTTTAAAGTGATAAAGGGGGACAAGGGGAACACCAGTAAATCATTCTCATGTTTCTCAGCAGCTCTGCAATTTCCTTTTCAACTCCCACCCCATCCCCAATCCTTTCTATCCCCAGATGGCTTCTGATGCCAACCCACTCCAACAACCTACATGATGAGACGTTGGTTGAAACCATGCCAACCTGATCATTAAGCTTCAAAGAGGTAGTATCAACAACAACAAAGAAAGAAAGAAAAAAAGAAAGCAATGAACAAGTGAGCTAAAAATGAAATATCAAAAAGATAACAGCTCTTTTAGATGTCAGAATGAGACAATGTTTCAAACAATGCCAGGATTAATCACCACCTTGTAACTTATTGCAAAATGTCTATTCAAACATGGTCTAGAATTTGACAGCACGTAGGGACAATCTGTTCATACAAACTACTAGCTGTGCTATACACATCAGGAACACCGTCTGCTTTTCACAGTCCCCAGTATTTTTATTCTGTTCTGTTCTGAATGTCAGTGGAGGAAAGATTGTCCCTCATATTGCAAACATTTTTTCCCTGCTCCACCACAGACTTCCAGTGTGACCTTGGGCAAGCCACTTAGCCTCTCTGTGCTTCAGTTCCCCATCTGTAGAATGGGGATAATGACACATCCCTACCTCGCAGGGGTCTTGTGAGGACAAATACACGGAGGATTGTGAAGAGCTTTGAGATCAACCGATGAAAAGCATGATCAAAGCTAGATATTGTTATTATTAATTATGATTATAATTATTTCGCAGTGACACATTTTGCTTAGAAAAAATTACATACAGCCTTTTTTCAATAACACTGAGCAATTTCCAAGTCCAAAATGCATTATTTAACTAATCACACAACACTGAGGTGAAACAGGTAAACATAATTATTATTTGACAGGTGAGGAAACAAAGACATAGAAGTTAAGGCAAAAAAATTCAGATTTAGGTGCCTAATTTAGGCACCCAAATGAGTGGCTTTATTTTTAGAGGTTCTGAACACTCACAATTCCCACTAAAGTCCAACAGGAACCTCAGGAGCCTCAGAGAGAAGGACTTGAACCTTCTTTGTCTGTCCTAGAATCACAGAATATCAGGGTGGGAAGGGACCTCAGGAAGTCATCTAGTCCAACCCCCTGCTCAAAGCAGGACCAATCCCCAACTAAATCATCCCAGCCAGGGCTTTGTCAAGCCTGACCTTAAAAACTTCAAAGGAAGGAGATTCCACCACCTTCCTAGGTAACACATTCCAGTGCTTCAGCACCCTCCTAGTGAAAAAGTTTTTCCTAATATCCAACCTAAACCTCCCCCACTGCAACTTGAGACCATTATTCCTTGTTCTGTCATCTGCTACCACTGAGAACAGTCTCGATCCATCCTCTTTGGAACCCCCTTTCAGGTAGTTGAAAGCAGCTATCAAATCCTCCCTCATTCTTCTCTTCCGCAAACTAAATAATCCCAGTTCCCTCAGCCTCTCCTCATAACTCATGTGTTCCAGTCCCCTAATCATTTTTGTTGCCCTCCGCTGGACACTTTCCAATTTTTCCACATCCTTCTTGTAGTGTGGGGCCCAAAACTGGACACAGTACTCCAGATGCGGCCTCACCAATGTCGAATAGAGGGGAATGATCACGTCCCTCCATCTGCTGGCAATGCCCCTACTTATACATCCCAAAATGCCATTGGTCTTCTTGGCAACAAGGGCACACTGTTGACTCATATCCAGCTTCTCGTCCGCTGTAACCCCAGGTCCTTTTCTGCAGAACTGCTGCCTAACCATTCAGTCCCTCGTCTGTAGCGGTGCATGGGATTCTTCCATCCTAAGTGCAGGACTCTGCACTTGTCCTTGTTGAACCTCATCAGATTTCTTTTAGCCCAATCCTCTGATTTGTCTAGGTCCCTCTGTATCCTATCCCTACCCTCCAGTGTATCTACCTCTCCTCCCAGTTTAGTGTCATCTGCAAACTTGCTGACGGTGCAATCCACATCATCCTCATCATTAACGAAGATATTGAACAAAACCGGCCCCAGGACCGACCCTTGGGGCACTCTGCTTGATACCGGCTGCCAACTAGACATGGAGCCATTGATCACTACCCATTGAGCCCAGCAATCTAGCCAGCTTTCTATCCACCTTATAGTCCATTCATCCAGCCCATACTTCTTTAACTTGCTGGCAAGAATACTGTGGGAGACTGTGTCAAAAGCTTTGCTAAAGTCAAGGAATAACACATCCACTGCTTTCCCCTCATCCACAGAGCCAGTTATCTCGTCATAGAAGGCAATTAGATTAGTCAGGCATGACTTGCCCTTGGTGAATCCATGCTGACTGTTCCTGATCACTTTCCTCTCCTCTAAGTGCTTCAGAATTGATTCCTTGAGGATCTGCTCCAAGATTTTTCCAGGGACTGAGGTGAGGCTGACTGGCCTGTAGTTCTCCGGATCCTCCTTCTTCCCTTTTTTTAAAGATGGGAACTACATTAGCCATTTTCCAGTCGTCCGGGACCTCCCCTGATCGCCATGAATTTTCAAAGATAATGGCCAATGGCTCTGCAATCACATCCGCCAACTCCTTTAGCACTCTCGGATGTCCTTCACATCAAAGCAGGTAAGAAAATGGAGCCCTTTTAAATGACTGACCAATGAAGGCCTTGATTCAGGGAAGCGTCCCTATTCAGGAAAGCACTTATATATGTGTTTAACTTTAAGCACGTAATTAGTTCCATGGGACTTAAGCATGTGCTTTCCTGTGTCAAGGCCTAATGCCACAAACTTCCAGAGCACCAAAAAGAGAAATAGAATGCAATTACTAACCAGTATAAAGTGGTAAGATTCTTCAATTAATACATTTTTTGTGCATCACACTCAAATATATTTTATAAAAATATAAAGCAGCCTTCGTAAAACCAACATCTGGAATCCAACCTATTCAAAGAACATTTTTTGTCCAGGAAGGCCATACAGAGGACACCATTAAAACCTTTACAACTCTTTACACAAAATTCAGTATGGGGTTGGACCTCTAGCCTCAACTCTCTAAAAATCTGGCCCATGAAGTTCAAAGTGGATATATAAAAGTCCTGTTGATTGTGCAGTGGTGTAAAATCTTCACAGCATTTTCCTTTGCACGTAGGTAACGTTACGATTATATTTGCAGTATTTCCTATACTTAGGGTATGTCTATACTGCAAAAAAATGCATATGTGTTCTTAACTTGGGTTTGCTAATCCACATTAGAATACTCAGGTTAAAACAGCAGTGAAGTCATGGCAACCTATAGGCCATCCTGGGCTTGAACACAAGGTAGGTACATCATTGTTTATGCCCTAACATGTACAGACTCCACTTTCTAAAAACAGACCCTAAGAGTTCTAGCACTGAGTTAAGCAATCCACTGTTAGCTTGGACAGGAGACAGACAGCAGTGCCCACTCACTGCCAAAAAGGCTCTCTTTTTTTAAGTATCATCTTCTTGCTCGATTTTCTTTTTCTCCATTTTCTTCTATTGTTGCTTTAGACAGTTAGCTAGACAAATAGGCACAGTGACGGAAATATGAACAGAATCTTTAAATAATTATTTTACACAGTGTGGGTCCCATTAGATTGGGTATGTAATGAGGTCAAAGGAAGCAACTCTGAAAATCAGGTCACCTATGTAGAGGCCTTAAAAATGGATTTAGGCACCTAACTTTTGGTGCCCATGTTTTAAAACTGGGCTCTGAAGTGTTGCTTTTTTTTATTATTAAATTTAAAAACAACTCCTCAGAAAAGATTTATTATCGAAGTCCCAAACATCAGTCAACCCACAGTACTGGTGTGTTTGTTTCTTATGATAAAAGAAGGACTAATGCAAATCTATTAAAATGCGCAAGACCACACAGGACAGATTTTGTTGCGATCACTAAACATATTCAGGTATGTACAAAATGTTTCTGATTACGCTACACCTCTACAAAGGTGCTAGCTTGAAAATGCCATGTATTCAGACGCTGCACTCCAGAAGGGAGCCTACTGAAGGAAGTTTCCCTAAGGCAGGCATAAAAAAGTTGAAGCAGTAGATGCTCCCAAGAAAAGAAAAAACAGCACGCCTTCTGAGTAACATCTTCATGGCAAAGGAGTCTGCACAGCCTACTGTATTGGAATCACAGTCCATCCAATGACTGGCAAGGACTTACAAAGGGCCCACATGGCAACGATAGGAACCACAGGCTGTGTCAGGCAGTTTGCGTGCCTCATGTTAGGAAGGATTACTTAGATCACTGCCCGTGCCTAGGAGGGTAATAGACACACTTTAGACACACTATAATGGGTGCTTGCCTCTTTTATACCCTGTGAGAACATTCCACGTACCTTCTGAAGTTTGTCTGCCTTCTCGTAGTACCCCTCCAGCTCCTGCCGCAGAACATGATTCTCCTCCGACAGCATCTCCACCATTTGCTGCGCTCGCTCCACAATGGCATATGCATCAGGCGTGAGCTGCTGGCTTGGTGCAGTCGCAGGTGAAGGCTGGGCAGTTACAGTTGATGGGAGCTGTGGCAAGGTTGTTGAGTGCAGTGGGCCAGTAATGGAGGAGGCCTGGGAGGACATTGGACTGTGCTGCTGTACCGGCACCGATGGAAAAGCAGGTTGACATTGTCGGCTAAATAAAAACAAATACGGGAAAAGAATTATATCAGCCCAGAAAAACTGCCCTGAAAATATACCAGCCATCTAGATTGTAGGGGCTTTGGGATAAGGCATATCTTTTTACTACAAGTTTGTTCAGCACTTAGCAATGGGACCCTGATTTATAAGTATTACCATAATATAAATCACAACAGTACTCCAGGTAAAGCATCTACTCACACGTGATTGACAATGATTTATATATTTATCTGGATCTCTAAAATGATAAAAAGGCATCTATCCGAAAGCACTGGGTATCCTGCTTTTGCTTAAAGAAAAGGAGTACTAGTGGCACCTTAGAGACTAACCAATTTATTTGAGCATAAGCTTTCGTGAGCTACAGCTCATTCATCGGATGCATACAGACTAACACGGCTGCTACTCCGAAACCTGCTTTTGCACAACTAGTGTCACAGACTTCAGACACCAACAAAATTCAGGAGTACTGGCTGATGGATGCGAACAATATATTCCTCATCCTTGAACCATTACCTGCCTGGAGTCAGTGAGTAGAATTCTGGTAGGCTGAATCAGAAGATGGGAGGAAGTGAAGCGAGCAATGTGATGTTCCTGAATAGCTTTAGCCTAGCAAAGGACAGACTGCTGCAAAACGGCTGGCTGGACAACCCTGATCAATTATTTCAAATCATCAAAGTCATTTTACAAAAGACCCTCATAATGATTGTATGAATAGGTGAGTTATATTCAGATGCATTAATCTATCTAATGATCTTACTGAAAACAAAGAGATGACTTGATCATGGTCTAGATCAGAGGTGGGCAAACTACTGCCCGCGGGCCACGTCCAGCCCACGGGACCCTCCTGCCCAGCCCCTGAGCTCCTGGCCCGGGAGGCTCACCCCCGTCCCCTCCCCCGCTGTTCCCCTTCCACCGCAGCCTCAGCTCCCTGCGCTGCCAGCGCGATGCTCTGGGCGGCGGGGCCGCAGCTCCTGGGGCAGCGCAGCTGCAGAGCCCGCCCTGACCCAGTGCCCTGTGCTGCACGGTGCATAGTTGGCTCCAGCCAGGCAGCATGGCTATAGCGCTGCCAGTCACCGGTGCTCCAGGCAGTGCGGTAAGGGGGCAGGGAGCAGGGGGGTTGGATAGAGGGCAGGGGAGTTCGGAGGGTGGTCGGGGGGTGGGGGTGTGGATAGGGTCGGGGCCGTCATAAGGCGGGGAACAGGGGGGTTGGATGGGGGCAGGAGTCCTGGGGGGCAGTCAGGAAGGAGGGGGCGTTGGATGGGGTGGCGGGGGGCAGTCAGGGGCAGAGGTTCCGGGAAGCAGTCAGGGTACAGGGAGAAGGAGTGGTTGGTGTCCCGGGGGGGGGAGTCAGGAAGGAGATGGGGCGGTGGGGGGCAGTCAGGGACAGAAGTTCTGGGGGCGGTCAGGAAGAAGGGGTGGTTGGATGGGGAAAAGGTCCAGGGGCGGGAGGGGGGCATCAGGCGGGTGAGAAGTGGGGGGGGGTGGATGGGGGCGGGGGGCCAATCCCCCCTCCCCTAACCAGCCCTCCATACAGTGAGGGTAATTCTATCTTAGCTACTTTTATGTCTCCATCTCCATAGTATCTGACTGCCTCACAATCTTTAATGTAGTTATCCTCACCACACCTCTGTGGTAGAGAAGTGCTATTATCCCCATTTTACAGATAGGGAACTGACACACAGAGAGGCTAAGTGACTTGCCCAATGTCACACAGGAAGTCTGTGATGGAACAAGGAATCAAATCTGGGTTTCCGAAGCCCCAGGTTAGCATCCTAACCACTGGATCAACATTCCTCTCCAATTACGCATTCTCCATCATCTGCAGCCGTATCAAGGCTACTTTTCCTGAAAGATAAGTTCTCAGATAACTACAAGTTATTGGAGTTGAAGCAGGAATCACTGGGTGAATTTCTGCATCCTGTGTTATGCAGGAGGTCATAATTATCCCTTTTGGCCTTAAAATCTATGAATACTATTATGTATACACCATATTTTTTGCTGAATACACAATACATGTGATCAATGTTGTTTTCACAGTGTATGGTGCTTCACAAGGAGGGGAAGATGGGATTTTCAAAAGCACTTAGCATTGGCTAATTCTGTTCCCACTGGAATCAACATCCCATTGACCTCCATGGGTGCAGAGTTAGACCAACACTGAATGCTTTTGAAAATCCTACCTAAAAGCAAAGGCCCAAGTACTAAAGAGCTCACCACAGCCTAAAAACAATGGCTAGGCAGGTGGCCTATTGGCAATTCACAGGTATCTTAGCTTGTGCCTTGATGGACAGAACCTCGCTGAAATAGGAAATGCCCTGAACCAGCAAAGGTGCCATTACACAGGCGGGATGGGAATGGGCAGCAGGGCAGACTTAACCAGTAAATGCTCATGAGGCTACTTTGTGTGCTGAGTACACCATCGCATTAGTGAATTTTTTAAAACTTATTTGCTAATTCACTCATGATTAAGTTGGCACAAGAAAGCAGGTGAGTGCCCGGAAAGAGCTTGAACCAAATACATCAGGAGACAGATTTGCTGCAATTGTTATACTATGTTTCGCTTCAATAGCCATATAGTTTCACTTCAATGTTGCTGGCAGAGCCCCCCTCCTCCTGGCCTTCTCACACTACATGCCACATCCCACCTATGCCATATAATGTTTGATGCTAAAGCGAGGTCACAGAGCATCAAGGGGAAAAGAAATAAGGGAAGCTATCACACGCAAAGCCACTGTTAACTGAATGGAACTCTGTCTGGAACTGGGAATTCTCCTACACGGCTATGCCAGTGATGATGTCATAGGGGATGGGAAGTTACAGCAACACTGTTCTCAGTATTGATTATAATGGGAAGTAACATGATGAATCTTGCTTAGACTGCGCAGTGCTCCCTTATGTGGAAGGGTCAGTATCACAGGTGATACTGCTTGGAAAGTTATGCTGCTCTGCCACATCTGTCTCCTTATCACCAGCAAAATCAGAGAGAGGAAAGGACTGTGCATGCGGGCGCACGTGCTGTGGGGGAGGCCTTTCAAGGGCCCCATTTATTCATTCCTTTGCAATAACGTTTGAGGTTGGACCTATACCTGGTCAACCAGTTTTTTATTGTGAACTGAACGGTGTGGCCGTCAGATGTTAGACTATATAGCTCACGAAAGCTCATGCTCAAATAAATTGGTTAGTCTCTAAGGTGCCACAAGTACTCCTTTTCTTTTTGAGATATACTGAGGCCATTTTGTTACTGCCTTTTTCTTCATCACATTCGACTTTGTAAAACCTCATAGGAAACCGCCAGTATCCTGTCCTCGTCAGGGAACTGAAATTTCTTTTTGTTTCAAAAGTTAACAATATAAAAATAGTATGACCAATATTATAAACTGGGTTGAACAATGAAATGTCACATACAATTATGAGCATGTCAGATATTTCCAAATGCAACCTAGTAAATGGAACATTACTAGTTTATGTGAGGCCTATTCTAACACTTAATAGTTTTATCAATATAATTATTTCAATTAGTGTTTATTTTACCCAAATAGTTATCCTGGTAAAAGCCTAATGTAGACACAGTTATACTAGCATAAAGGAGACTTATACCAGTATAGTTAATTCCCTTTCCTGTACAGGAATAGCTACACTTGTATAAAGTACCTATATACTGATATACCTGTATCCAAACTAGGTGAGCTGTACCTACTTTAACTATACTGGTTAAGCCCTGATTGTCCTGTTTGGGGATTTCTAACCTCGTATTAGTTTTGCACTTTTCCGTTGGCTTCAGCCAGTCTAAGTTTACATTGAGAAGTGAGGGAAGAAGCAGGCCCAGTTAATTCAGTCATTCCTGATTTTCGAGTTATTCACCCCAAGTTACTCCTGATTTACATCCATGTGAGAGCAGAATCAGGCCATGATTCTGCACAGGCCAGATTGTATTGGATGTTCTCATAACTATTTTCATCTTGAACTTGTACAATTTATGTCGCTTCTTTTGATGTGTGGCTGGTAAACATAATGAATTACTGATGAACAGTTTGTTCTTTACTGTTTACAAGTCCCATTTATCCCAGGTTTCCTTTGAAGTTTTTTTTAAACTGAACCCACTGTTAAACCTCTGGATGCATGTACAATACATATAACACAACAATCCAAAAAGCAAACTGGCAGTAAGAAAAAATAAGATTCCCTGATGAGGTTAAATACAGTTCATATCCAACCCTCAAGTTAATGCCTGAATGAATAAATAAATGAACGAAGCTTGCCCTCTGTCCAGAGAGTCAACAGAGTTGAGCTCCCTTGGACTAACAGGGCATATAAATGCCAATGATTTTCCTTTATTCTTTTTAAATGATGGTTTTACTCTGTATTAGAGCTGGCTGAAATTTCCTGTGTAAAAGGTTTTTCATGACAAAACTGCCTATTTTTTAAAATGACTCTTCAAGAAAAATTATCAAAATTATAGGTATTTTCCATTTTTTGCAAAATTTCCAGTGATGTTTTTATTAATTTTTTAGAACGTTTTTGTCAAAATTGTTTTAGAACTCAGTGGCATTTTTTTGTTTACTGAAAACCTGTTGTTTTGGTAAATGAAAAATTTTGTACAAAGTAATAAAACACTGCTTTTGGGAATGAAAAATTTCAGTAACGATTTTGATAAAAATTTGATTAATTTTTCAGTTTAAAATGTTATGAAAAATAGGTCCACGTGGAACACTTCATAATTTTGAAATCATTTTTCAACCAGCTTTGCTCTCACTTTTTTCCATTATAACTGTTTCCCTAGTGATTGCACTTTTCTAGTGTTGTCAGGATAGTTTTATAGTTTGTTTGTTTGTTTTTCCTTTTTGACAGGCATTTAGGAGGGAAGGCTATGACAGCTACAGAAGCAGCAGTGGTAGTGACCCACGGAATGAAGGTGACTAGATGTGGAAGCTGCAGGATGTACAATCTTCTGGAGAGGGTACTTAAAAGGTGCTTCGTTCGTATGAAGTGCCGCCT